TAGCAGTGTAGTATACCAAAAGTACAATTGCAGGGTATTTTTATTAAGTACATACATATGTAAATATATTTGTAGTACACTTAGCATAACATAAATGTATTTTAAAAACATTTTAGGTTTTAGTAGATTTATTATATATATATATATATATATATATAAACCATTTTGACGTTTTATGTGCCTTTCATATCAAACAAAAGAAAAAAGAAAAAATTAAGGATACACTGCGCGTCTGCTTGGTGGATGGTCTGGTCGGGCAGGTTGGCGTGCTGCATTGCGATGGCGTGAGGAAACTCGCTGAGCATCCGCTGCTGAAAGGCCTCCAGACGCTCGTAATCGTTCCCTCGACACACAAACTCTTTATTCTGACCGCCGGCAACACACACAGACAGAAGTAATGAGGAAAGTGGAAGACACTGGACACAATATTGACTGTTTGAGGGACTAAATGAGAATAGAGTTTAGAGATCTTTCATAATTCCTAATTCATTCTCATTTCCCCCTCCATTCCCATTACAATCATCCACACATTGCACTGTGGTGTGAAAATACAAATAGCAATTGGGTAAAATGCGAATAGCTCAATAAAAAGGAAATGTTGCAGAAATGTTACAAATTATAAATGAGTTGCAGTGAGATCTGGAAGGAAAGTGCCCCCTAGAGGACATGATGTTGAATTACAGGATTACACTTTAACTGAATAAGCCATAATTCACCCAAAAGTGAAAAATTTATACAAGACAGCGATATCTGTAAAATATTTAGCTAATATAATCAGCTTTTATTATTTTACATTATTTTATAATATATTATAAATAATATGTATACAAACAGTCTGAGAAGATGTGCATCTCCTTTGGCTCCTGAAGTTAAGAACATACTGCAGTTAAATGGGATTCTTCGACTCAGATCTCGCCCAAGGGGTAAGAAAGCTGGGAGAAATTATATTCGTTCAATATTTACAATTGTTGGAAATCGCCCTACTTCATGTGGAACTGCTGTGGATATTAAAAGACAGCCAACTGGGCAAAGAATGTTTTTATCTCACTGTTGTTACCAACCTAAGAACTTAATTCATATCAAGACAAACCAACACAAATCAATACCATCTACGCCTGGTTTTCTCCTTTCTAATGTGCGTTCTTTAAGCTACAAATGTGATGAGCTGCACAGTGTAGCACTGAATAATAACTCAGCAGTTGTCGCCGTTTCAGAGACTTGGCTAAATGATGGTATCCCAGATTCAATTGTAACTTTTCCTGGATATACAATACATCGGCGGGATCGCAAAGGAGGTGGGGGAGGAGGAGTTGCCTTGTATGTTTGTAACATCATCAAACAAATTCGACTGACTCATCTAGAAGAGGAAGAGCATGAAGCTTTGTGGGTCTGGTTACGTCCCAGTCGTCTTAAGTTGTATTATTGCTGCTGTGCTATATTTTCCACCATGCTCTTCTGCATAAATAAAACTAAACTAAACTAAACTAAACATATATAAGTATAATACAAATATGCTTTTAAGAATTGTATACCCTTAAAAAGAAGGGGAACTTCTTTCCGTAGAAGCCGACTCTGAAGAACTCTGGCTCGAGCCGCTGCTGGTTCATTATTTTGTCATAGAAAGAGGCTTCCATCATCTATCAAACATGCAAATAAAACAGACCATTGAGCACAATGTAACACAAACAGCAGTTAATATGACAAATTACTGCCACAATCTGTGAAGCAATCGACTGTGTAACAGAATAAACAAAAAACAATCAGGGAGATTCAGTTTAACAGTTAAAGCCAAACGCCTCATTAGGATAACAATTGGCCGTAAGTGTAATGAACATAGTAACAACTCAATTTAGTTCAAATAAGCGCTGTATTTACAGCCACTGGGTGTTTGAACTGCAGACTAGTGTGCATAAAAATAAGTAAATAAATACTGTAAAACTATAAAGAAATTAGTGCTGTCAAACGATTAATCGCGATTAATCGCATCCAAAATAAAAGTTTTTGTTTACATAATATATGTACAGTATGTGTGCTGTGTTTATTTATTTATTATGTATATATAAATACACACACATACAGTATATATTTTGAAAATAATTACATGTATATACATTTATATATTTTTATTATTTTATTTTATATTATATATAAATACATATAATATATAAACATAACATATTTTTCTTAAATATATGCATGCATGTGTTTGTAATTATATATACATGATAAATATACACAGTACACACTTTTATTTTGGATGCGATTAATCGTGATTAATCGTTTGACAGCACTAAAAGAAATGTAAAAAAATCTAAAAAAGATTAAACATTATTTGTTAAATATGTATTTAATAAATTAATACCAAAATAAAAATAATTAAAAAAATAAAATACATAAACTTATACATACTGCATGGTCTGTAAAGTGGAAACACTTACCCTCATCTTGCTGAGGTTCCTGTAGTCATAATACGCTTCGTACTGATTGGCCAGCTCTCGACACAGTATGATGCAGTTTTCCCAGCACTGGAATGAATAGTTCAGTTTTTAAGACTTAAATAACAGTAATACTTCAAACATAAAAGTATAATTTTAGCTACAAACAAGGACCCCTGCTCTCATCGAAACGGTTGCAGTAGGTTTCAGCCACAAGATGGCAGTATGTAGGAAGAAAAGAACTTCTCTTATGTTGTCCATATTTACAGTTAAGTAGCTGGAAATCAGAACATACTGAACATAAAGTTGTCGCTGCAAACCTTTGGCTTTTTACTTACAGTAGCTGCCCTGATCCTTCAACATTAAGCCTTATTAGTCACATTCATTATTTTATGATGGGTGGGGTGCATCTTAAAATGAGAGATGGACTCACTTTTCCTCTGTCGAAATTGTGTATGATGGTGAGATGAAGGCATTCCTTCCTCTGCCATTCGCTCTGCATGGGGTACGTGAGGAACTCTCGGAGAGGTCTTTCGGTCCACTCCAACAGCTCATCGTACAGCAGAAGAGTGTAGGACGCCTCTGCAACACAGTCACAAAGATCATTAAAAAATTATTAGAAAATAGTCATTTATAACAGTAAATAATATTCGAATAGGACAATATTTATTAGTATTATTATTATATTAATAATATTATTGAAACAATTTGCATTTAAAAAGTAAAATTTAAATTACATTAATATTATTTCAAATTAATTGGTGCGGAAATGACAGTAAAAAATGAAAAATGAAAACGATACAGATCAACACAAATATGTTGAGCGATTATTACCGGTGTAATTTTGTGCCTTCAGGTGCAGCTCATAGAGCTTGTGAATATAACGGATGTACATTTCTTCTTTATTCAACTCGGTTTTATAGAAGTTCTGAAAAGAACAGGACAATGTGAGCAGAACATGCTTTTTTCTGGAGTTTGCCTCCAAATAACTATAATAATCAAATGTGTCATATTTTATATCCAAAACGAACCAGAAGGTTGACTGTACATCCCATTGTTTTCCCATCAACCTCGCCAATCTTCATGCAGTCCCTGTGAAGAGATGAGCCTCATGCATAAAGCGTGAGTGTGTTTGTACTGTATGCTGTATGGATGTGAGTGTGTCTGCTTTACCTGTAATCTAATAATCTCTCCATTAGCCGTGTGACGGTAGCGATGTGGGAAATGCCACTTTCTCTCCAGGTCTCTCTCTCAATCTTCTTCAGGAGACTAAGTCAGATATATTATAAGAACTAATTAAAACAACAATAAAACTTTGAAATCGAAGACCTGATCACCCTTTTATTTTGTTACACCCAGCTGTACAGTATATAGTACATGATATTTAATGAGGGTCTTACCTTGGATACGGACCAAACAGTGGAATTCTAATGCAGAAAAATAGAAAAACATTTTCGAATATTTGATTAGATTTTTCAAATTGAATATATAGTACTTTAAATATTTCATAGTTTGTAATATTTTATATTTATATAAAATATGCAATATTTTTTATTTATATACTACTGCTCAAAGGTTTTGGGTCATAAGAGTGTCTTTCACATCAAGGCTGCATTTATTTTATGAAAGATACAGTAAAAACAGAAACATTATTACAACTTAAAAAATATTTTCAAACGTCATTTATTCCTGTGATGCAAAGCTGAATTTTCAGCATCATTACTCCAGATTTTACTGCCAGTTTTGATCAATTTAATGCACCCTTGCTGACAAAAAGTATTAATTTCATTAAAAAAAAAAGATAAAATAAAAATAAACTTACTGACCACAAACTTTTGAACAACAGCAAAGACTATTTTATATTTATATTTCATCATTTATAGCACGTGATATTTATATAAATTTATATAAATATAATTATAATTTATAAAAATTTCTCATTGCAGCTACAAAACATCACGATTTTGGAAAGAATTAAAACTCACATGTTGTTAAAGAGCTCTCTGTATGTCTCATCTCCTTTTCCCTCTGACATCAGGCCATCCAGTTTGTCTATTAGTTTGGCCTCCACCTTTAAAAAACAAAATGTCCAAAAAAAAAAAAAATTAATCCTTAATATGTCAGTTTTCATTCTTACAGCATGTTTTTAAATCCACTTACAGTATGATGTTAGTCAAGGTTTCCTGCACCAAAAATATCATCATGTATCATATGCATGACTATTCCAGGCTATATTTGCATTTTTAAATCATTATTCTTTCTGCAAGACAGCGGAGTTACATGTAGAAAATAAATTATATATCCATTGTAGTTCATCTTTAAATTTGCATGAGCAGCTCAAAATCTCGCTGACAATCTTTTTCAAATTATGATTCCATTCCAGAGCGACACGATCTTGGTAAACAAGCTCGATTTCCTCTCATCCACAGTGTTCTACTCTGATGCCCGCACATGATTTATTGTGACATGGACATCACGCTGCTCTCGCGTGTTCAAACATGTTTATGTCACTGTGATTTCAGCACCTGTTTGAAGTTGCCGCTCCGTCGCTGTTCACAGTCCATCATATCGTGGAAAACGGGGATGAGGACGTTCCTCAGGTCCATCTGTGGTACCAGAGTCACCTCCATGAACGGACCAATCAGGGTGGGAATGAGATTTAACTTGTAGTCACCTGGGAGACAAAATCATATATTGCTTTTATATGCACCGGTCATGTGACTCCATAAGCGCTCAATGCAGAATTGTGAAAGAGGACGAACCCAAATGCTGCCACATGCTGAAAATCTCACAGCCAATCATCACTCTCATGTCACCGTACCTTTAAAAACAAACAAAAAAGAATCACATCAAATCTGGGTATTGTGGTAATTGCAAAATGGTTTTCCCATGGTGCAACTTGCAAATTGCTCACGGTGTAAAAGTACTAATTAATCCAGTATACAATAAATCACTAATATCGCCGCATTACGCAGAATGTGTTATTTTACATCGTGAAATCTTTCAATCTCATTCCCGGTAGGATTCTGATCATATAAAGGAAAAGAACAAGAAGGGCTCTCACTTCTCCAGGACTTTTTTCCTCTTGGAGGGCGGGAACATTTCCAGTTGGAGGCAGGGCTGGTTGATGAATATTATACAGAGATAAAAATAGGACTCCCATACCTACAGATAAAAAGAGAGCTAATTAAGATGCTGACGATGATTATCTGTACTGCAGGCACATGTTTAACATGTTCCCAGGATGCTCTAGGAGATACAGAAAAGAAGACATTTCTCCTATGCAGTCATTTTTTTTTTTCTCTCCATACAGCACACTGTAAATAACAATATGCAAGGAAATATTTCTACTTCATCTGACCCATAATGTTTTTTTTCCTGGTGTGATCTACTGTATTCAAGTTGATTCTGCCATATTAAATAACATTATTATATTATATTATATTATATTATATTATATTATATTATATTATATTATTTTATATTATATTATATTATTTACAGGTTAATTAATCCAACATTTTTATAGTTTAGATTAGAGTTAATGGCTTTTAGATTCTAGATCTACAGGTACTAAAGACATCTGAATATATTAGTATATTTAATGAAATAGTAAAAGTGACGGCAAGTTATTAGTGAATTTCATGCAGTGCATGCTAATTTTTCTCTGGTATTTTAGTACATTAGAGAGCAGAAAAATAATAATCTGTAGTATATAAACATCTTTATTTTATTTATTTATATAAAAGTTGAGAATGAAGATTATGTGTAGATGTTTCACATACTTCATCATATTTACTGTAATAAAATTAAACTTGTGAACTTTTGATGTTAGCAACAGCCAGGTCGTGGGTTCAATTCACAAAGGTTTTTTGAAAGAAGCCAGGGCTGCATTTGTTTGATCAAAAATATAATAAAAATAGTAAAATGGTGAAATACTGTTATTATTTAAAAAATGTAATCTAATATGCTGATTTGCTGCTCAAGACACATTTCAATGTTGTAACAGTTGTGCTGTTTAATAATTGTGTGACTTTTTTTTCAGGAATCTCTGATGAATAGAAATTTCAAAGGAACAGCAAAGCTCACATAACATTATACATGTCTTTCACTTTTGATCAGTTTAATGAATAAAAATAATAATTAATAGTAAATGATCCAGAAAATGATCCAGGCTATATTTGCATTTTTTTTAAATGCAGTAAGACAACAGAAAAAGCCAGACTTGCATTTAGAAAATAAATTGCATATCCATTGCAGTTCAACTTTAAATTTGCATGAGTAGTTCAAAAGTCTTTCACTTTTGATCAGTTTAATAAATAAAAACAGTAGTGAACTGTAGCAAATGTAAAATCTCTTTACCTTGAAGTCAAATTTCTCATTAAGGAAGTTGTTGCGCAGAGTATCGGAGAGATATAAGATGGTGGTTATGATGACACTACACACAAACAAACAGAAACGTCAAGCAATGAAACATCTCTATGGCTGAATGAGATTATATATGAACCATTTCAGGTTTTGTTTTCCGCACTTACTTATTAGCGACCAGTCTCATGACAGTCCAGTCTTTAGGGAACATGTCCGGTCGGATAAGTATCCTGAAGACAGTGAATAACTGCAGGAGGAAACTCTGGAAAACAAGATTGTAAAGTTAGACTACAGCAATCACTGTTATCAAACCAGAATAAGCTGGTTAAACACCCACACTGCAATCTGGTAAGGTTTATCAAATGATTTTACCGTTAGTTCATCTTTAGTGGGAAATCTGCTGAGAAGCTGCTGGTATTCTTTATCTTTCAACTGCCGCAGCAATGTGAGCAAACAGGCAACAAATTCACCCTGAAACACACACATCTAATTTGTTATTCAATTTACTGAAATACTTTCCCTGAAGTAAAAATCAAAGATCATCAGAAAAGGTCACGCGTACTGTAACATCCTGGTACGGCAGGCGCAGCGATGTGGCGGCAGGCTGAGGCCGGTTGGTCACTTCCAGTACAGTTCTGAGTAACACTCCAGACAGACTCTCCATGACCAGATTCACCTCCTCAGACACACCACACTCCTACAGAGACATAAACAGACTTTTTATTTTATTTTATTTATTAAAATTAATCACATATATAAATATTCACAAAGAAAAGCCCCATTACATTATTGTAGAAAAGGAGAAAATATTGAATAAACATCCGTTTCAGGTTAAAATATTTCAACACATCAAATTCCCTTATCGCTAAATTTACATACAGGTCAGGAAGTCACGATTATTATTATTATTTTTTTAAACTTATTTGGTTACATAATTAAGATAGATAGACAGACAGACAGACAGACAGACAGACAGATAGATAGATAGATAGATAGATAGATAGATAGATAGATAGACAGACACACAGACAGATAGACAGATAGATAGATAGACAAACAGAAGTTAGATAGATAGATAGATAGATAGACAGACAAACCGAAGATAGATAGATAGATAGATAGATAGATAGATAGATTATTTTACTTGATTTTAAATGTACTAATTACATTTTTTCTAAAACTTATTTTTAGATAATTCATTAAAATTTTTAGATAAATTAGTAAGCCATAACATTTTAAATATAATTTTACCTTTTTATTTACAAAATCAGCAAATAAAATAGGTACCAAATCTCACCAGCAATTCTAATTAGAAAAAAATAAATAAATAAAAAAGGACAAGAGCTACAAACTAACCAATAAATAGAACAAATGAAGGAACTGATGCAGAGAATGAAGTAAACGGTGTGAAAAGGTCTCTAGCAGCAGAGTTTTAGTGCAAGACTGACCGTGGCAGCTGTGTTGAGCGTCAGCATGCTGGTGAGGATATTGGCACACAGCACCAGCTCCCTCTGCTCCTGCAGGTGTGTGTGCAGCAGACGCAGCACTACAGGTAACAGCACACACCTCGACTCTGACAACACAACACACACATACAGTATAAGAATCAAGTAGCATCTAATCCTATAAAGCCTACTGTATCGTATTTGACACGCAAATATCTAAGGCCTTTGAAGGATTACCATTATCAAAACTGCTGAAAAACTGTTGTACAACAATCTACTACATGCCTTCTGTCTGACTGATAGTTTATCATTTTTGAGCAAGTTAAAGACCTTTTAGTTTAATTGTAAAATGTTCAGGTCTTTCTGTTGTGAAATCTTTACTGATTTTGATAAAGTAAAAGCAAGAATAACTTTACTGGACTGGAGTAAGTTGGGCTTGCTTGACATCAGTTTTTAGAAAAATCATGGTAAAATGTCATTATCAAATATGATACAGTCAGGCTTTTGAAGAATGTTTAGCTATTCATCTCTTAACCCTCATTTGTATTACATTGCTTTATAAGTTTTGCTTCCACAATAAAAACTACAGAGCTTTGATCATAAAACTAAACATTTAAATACTATCTTACGAATACATATTATTGAGAGAATTTACTTTTTGGCCATATAAATATATTCAACTGCACTTTAGGCCACTGAATAAAAAATATCAAACTATATGAGCCATAAAAGCCTGATGTATCTATGATACAAAACATTGATTTTTTTTTAGGCGCATCAAAGTCTGACACGGAAGAGAAGAAATTCTTGTAGCTTGAGCCACTGATGTCACATGGACTATTTTAACGATGTCCTTACTACCTTTCTGGGCCTTGAACATGTCAGTTGCATTTCTGTCTATGGAGGGTCAGAAAGCTCTCAGATTTCATCAAAAATATCTTCATTTGTGTTCCTAAATGAACAAAGGTCTTATGGGTTTGGAATGACATGCAGGTGAGTAATTAATGACACAATTTTCATTTTTGGGTGAACTGTCCCTTTAAACAGCATAGGCACAGTGTACGCTAGCATTTAGATGGCCTCTAATAAACCTAGACTTGATTTTACAATGTTTCTAGCAATAATTATTCACTTTGAACTACTTTAAAACAGAAAACTGTGTGAGATCCTTTACCCGGGTTGACGTAAAGTGGACTCTCCACGGTCTTGGCCATGCACTGCAGTTTGACGGCCTGTAGAGGGCAGTCCGTGTGCGTGAGGGCAGGCAGGCTGCTCAGCGTGTCGCAGGCCAGATTTGCCACCTCTCTCATGCTGAAGATCTTTAGCAGCTCGCAGCACACAGTCGGGAACGATCTCAGGAACACGGCCTGCGAAAATGCCAATAAACATGTTATTTAAATACGAAAAAGCCTCATTAGTTGGAACCCAAGAGATAAAGTTTAATACTACATGTAACATGCTGCAGTATGTGTGTGTTTTGTGCCGCTATCATCTTCCTCCAAACGCATTTTCACTTTGATTTAGTGGGAAAATGTTCCTCTGGCATGGTACGGAATGTCAAACAACAGATGTAAGCAAAGGCACTCGCACACACACAAATATCGCAATGACACAAATCTGGCACAGCTCCAGTCGACTGCATGTGTTTAGGATTATGCCGCGGTGTCCAAAGACGCTTTGTTTTCTTGGCCGTGTTAATTGAAATCTGCTCTCCTGCTGGGCCGCCGTAACAAGAACAGACCTGTGTGAGAGTTCAGTGCGAGCGAATGTGCGAATGTGTGCGAACCAAAAGCAATCTCGGAGAGAACGGAGCCCGTCGGACACACATGGCCCAGCTGACTCGGAGCTCGGCGGGCCGTGACAGTGTGTGGCGGACTTTTAGCTCGCTCAGCGTGCGTCTCTGTTTGTGTATATCAAGACTGGCTTAACTCTCCATGGGCTGACTGAGCTTTGAACACTGATATGCTAGCAGAACAAATCTGGGTGGGACTGAAAAAGAAGTACTGTATTCAATAAACGCTGCTAACTTGTGTTTTCCTAGTGTATTTGTTTCGCTATAATTGAGTGGCAGATTCCTGGAAATGTTCTCACAAATATAGTAAAACTGACTGACTGGTGGGAACAGTCCAGATTAGTAAAATGGTTCCAATATGGGTGAAATAATGTCTTAATCCAATTTCCTTACACATCTTAAATTCAAATCGAAATCTATGTGAAGTCTAGTTTACTGATATAGGGCTAAATTAGTGCAAATCATAAATAAACTGAAAATATCTGGAGGCATGTATCCATAGACAGTGTTTCAAATAACACTGGCCACAAACTCAGATGTCACCAACAGCAGATCAAGACCCAAGGTCCATTCGAAATGATTAATAAAATGACAGAACCCTGACACACACACACACACACACACACATATATATATATATATATATATATATAGCCAGACATCAATTCTGACTCTTGAACCAGTATATACTTCAAAGGTTTGGGGAAAGAAATGAAACCTTTTATTCAGCAAGGATGCATTAAATTGATTAAATGACAGAAAGCACTTTTATATTGTTATATTAAAAAAAAATCTAATTCAAATGCTGTTCTTTTGAACTTCAAGGAGCATGTTACACTGAAGACTGGAGTAATAGCTGCTGAAAATTCAGCTTTGCATCACAGAAATAAAATACATTTTAAAACGTATTCAAAACAGTCCTTTTATATTGTAACAATATTTCACAATATTACAGTTTTTATTGTATTTCTTATTAAATAAATGCAGCTTTGATGAGAAAAAGAGACTTACGAACCCCAAACTTTTGAAAAGCAGTGTAAGATATGATTAATTTGATCGTAGTTGGGGGGGGGGGG